CTTTCTGGAGAGGGGTCAAGCAGGACCCTGCCCTTGACACCCACTTGGCTCACTCACCTCCACGCCACAGTGCCCGGTGGCCACAGGCCACTCCTGTCCACACACCCGACCCCAGAGTGATGTGATGGCCCCCCTCAGGTTGGGTTCTGGCACCCTCTTTCCTCCAGGTCTCACTCCACTGCCTCTCATTCTCCCATCTCCCCGCCCCCAACTGGAAGAGGAGCCTCTCCCAGCCTCCCAGTTGTGCAGAGAAGGGAGCTGCACCAGAGAGCACAAGGTGTGAACTCGGAGTCAGGGCTGCAAATGGATTGATGATGACAGGCAGAGGCCTGGCTTCAGTCACTGCTGCCTGGCAGCCAGGCACTGATTGGATTTGTGTGCTACACACATTTTGGGATCACACTGCCTTCCTTTGCTGAAGGGATTCAAACCCATCCTAAGCAGAGCTCAGTTGCAACAGTGAACCACAAAGCAGGAAGGACCAAAGGTCCACAGTGCCCTGTATAACCTCAGTGAAATGTGTCCCTTCACCACGCAGACAGCAGAGTGCTGAGAAGGCTTTTAAGACAAAAAAAAAACTACATATAAATACCCTGCCTCTGGATTACAGAGCTTAAAATATGATGGCATCTCCCCCAGATTGTGAATGGGTTCCCTGAAGAGCTCCTTCAGTTCTGAGACCCTCCCTTCCCCATTCCCCTCCTGGGAGAATTGGAGAGGCAAAGGGCTGCTGTTCCAGCAGATTTGCAGGAGTGGGAGTTGAAGAATCAATGAAGCTCTGAAAGCCAGTGGGGAAAGTCATTCTGCACCTTCCTGACACCAGGAATAAATGATTCAGCTGGAAAAGGAAAAAAAAAAATCCAACAACCCTCAAATGAGCCTGGAATTACCCTCTGGAGAGATATTTCATCTTGAGGAATTGTGTTTGCTGCAGTGTTCATCTCACTGAGCCACAGCAAGGCTTTAATATCCAGCAAAAGGTCAACTCTAAATGGGAATTGCCAGAGCCTGCTGGAGCTCCTGCCTGCACATGAGCTCCCAACCCTCACATGGAGCAGCTACGGCCAAACCAAAGCCTGAAACAGGGAATGGAGCTGAGCTGGACCACGTAAGGATATCTCCCTTCCCTATGGGATCCCAGACACAACTCAGCCCTGTACTCACTCCCTTTGGATGGGTACAGAAGGAACAGACCTGCCTGCCTGGGTATCTTGAGCAGTGTTTGGAGAGAATGCTGAGAACTTCCAGATGTTTCCACCCAAGGGATTTAACTGAATGTCAAGGAAGATGGGATTTCAAGGCACCCGAGGGCTGCAGGGGCAGCTGTCAGCTCCTCATCAGCTGGAACATCAATGCTTGAAGCATTGCCAGTGCCCTCCGAGTCCAGCAGTCTGCAGGGCTGTGGGAGCTCTCTCCTCATGCCCATCAGCTCCCCATGGACAGACAGTTCTTCCCACTTTTCCCACTTCTGCTTTGGTACTGCTGCTGTCCCACTCCACCCACACATTTGCTTAGCCTCTCCTTGGTAATTTGTACTCTTCTTCCTTCCCTCGGACTGAGCTCTGCCCTCTGCGAGTCTGGTATTGCTATCCCAGGCTGCAGCAGAGTTCCAGGGATAAATTAGCCAGACAGGAGGTGAAGGCAGAGGTTCCCAGGGAGCTTCCTGTCTCCTCTATACTGTGACAAAGGTGTGTGTCCAAGAAAAGAAAGGAGGGCACTGAGTCCTTCCTGTAACATCTACTGTCCCCCCGCAGGAGGGCACACTGCTCATCAGTGAGCTGAGCTGAACAGAGGGAGTTTTATCTAAAGAGCTGAAAATCTGCTTGAGCTTTGAGCTTGATAACAAAACCGGTTCCATGCCACACACTAAATCTAGACCCTGCAAGGAAACAGATTTGGGAACTATCAACAATCCTGACAGCCCTGAGCCTTCTACCAGCCACCTCAGTCACCCCACACAACATGGAGCCCTCCTGCTTTCCTGTTCAGGACCTTATCGACCTCTACTAATGCATCATCATGCTGCCCAGAAATTCCAGCTGTCCTTTCAGCCCTTCTCAATGAGCAAGGTGCCATCCATGATGGGCAGCACGCTGGTTTCTGTGCCAATGTGGAGGAACATCCACTGGGGATGAAACTACCACTCTGACTTCCACATGTGACTCAAGCCAGATTTCACTATGTACAGAGAGATTAAATTTCTCTAAGGTTAACACAAGATAATTTTTGTTCAAATATTTACAGTTAGAGCTCACCAGAAAATCAACAGGATTCTGCTGGACAACACTCAACTATCCACATCCCCCAAAGGCAAACAGGGTTTTTATGTGGTATTTAAAGGACCCTGAGGAGACATCCAGAATGAAGCCCTCACAATTGCTCCTGGGCCAGGCTGGGTCAGTGCCATACATCCATGCCTCTGAGGAAAGCAGGGGAAACTTGCTGGCCTTTTCCTCCTAATAATGTGCCCACACGGACACAGCCAGAGCAGGTCACCAGCCCCTCACATGGTCACACAAACAGAGGAGGTGGAGACCATTCAGAACTGCATCCAGCAGCTACATACTTGGGAAGCCCGTGCTGTGGATAATAGGGTCAGATTGCTTCTCCCTGAGTTTGGCCTTGTGGAGCTGTTTGTGTCTCCTGGATGCAAGACTCCCCGGCAACAAACTGGAGCTGTCATTTGGGGATCTTGTCCTTTCTCTCCAGGATGTTTAAATTCAAGCCTCAAACTTGTGGTTAGCAGGGAATAGGGGAAAACAAAGAGCCAAACAATCCGCTGTCAGCTCCTGAGTGCCCAGCCTGTGACAGTTATCCCTCTTGTCCTCGGGGAATGGTGGAGTACAGAGGCAATTTCTCAAGGGCCTGTCACAGATTTAAGCTGCTCAGACTTACAAGACAGAATTAAAAAAACCCAACAGACAATAAGTGTACTGAAATATTTAGGCTTTGCTCCCTCCTCTACAGGGTCTGTTGTTTCATGAGAAGAAGGAAGACTGAGCTCACCCACAGCTGCACTAAACATCTGGGGCTTGAGGAACATTCCCTGACTGCTTCTGAACCTTTGTTTGCTACTCTCCCAAGCCCTGACCCTCTTTTTGACACATCAGCCTCTACTGGAGGCTCCCCTCACCCCCTCCTGAGACTGCTCTCTGCTGTGTGTGCACCTCAGGTTTAATGGTTTTCTATTAGGGAAGTTTTCTGGGAGGGAAATTTGACAAAGCTGCTGTGTCAGGTGCAGAAGCTCAGGTGGAAATTGCCCTCTCCCTCCTCTGCTCCTTTCCAAGGGTTAAGAGGGAAGGTGAGCACAGGCTGGATCCCTGCATGAAGAGCTCTGAAGGGAGCACAGATATTACTCCCACCGAGCTGATTTAACAGCCTCCCTTCCCTAGGTGGACAATCAGCTTTCCAAGGGAGTCAGCAACTTTCTGAGACAGTGTTTTTCTAGGATGAAGCTCCTGCCTTTGAAGGTGTCTGATCTCTCCCAGTGCCCTAGGGCTTTCTGCTTACTCTGCTCTCCCATGCAACCACGTCCTGCAAAGGCATCCCATGCTAGCTTCTCTCCCTTCTGGGTGCAGAAACATTTCCCTGCAGCCACAGTGTTTGTGTATGGTTCCCTCAATCCACCAGGCTCACAGGGAATGCAGGAGTGCACAGAACTCCTTCCTCTTGGTTGTCCCCTCTAGCCCAGTCCTACAGATGGCAGGTCAGCCCTCCCTGTGCTGCTGAATAACGGAACACAAAGGCAAGGGGAATGCAGACAATATCCCAAACAAATCTGCTGTTTACAAAGTCCTCTGTAAACTGTTTACTTTGCTGGGGAGAAAGCATGGAGGAACAGCAGCTGCGTTTCCCAGTGGGAAGAACTCCACTCCTGTTTGCTCCACTGCTGTGGGAGGGAATGGAGCTGATTCACATCTGGAAAGGGTGCAAAGCATGAGAGAAAAGAAGAGGAACCAAAACCCCAGCACTACCCACTCCCCCAGGAGTCAGGAGCTCTGGCTACCTCAGCACTGCCTCCCAGAGCACACTCTGAGGACAGTGGTCTGTCCCTGGGGTGCAAGGTGACAGGGAACAGCCATCCTCAGGCTCTGAGCAGTGCTTGTGATGGTCAGGCTGAGCTGTTCCCTGCTGCCAGAGGAAGCATCCCAGCCAGCCCTGAAGCTCACTTGGAGCCACATGGCTCTTGGGCTGTGTGAGGAGCTTTGTGACTCTCATCCCTCAGAAATGTGTGTGGTGCCTCTAGCTCATGGCTAAACATGGGGCCTCAGGAATACCAGCAAGACCACTGCAAAGTGCTGGCATAAAATAAAAGAGTGTGCCTCTAATCTCCCTGTTTCCTGTCCATGGAAAGTTCTTTGAAGTGCCTGTGCTCAGGGCAGTGCTGGAACACCCGTGACCCAGCTGACCAGCACAACGCTGGCCGGTGACACAGCGTGACTGCCCAAGCCCTGGGGGCTGCCACGGGCAAGAAAGGCTCTGAGGGGAGACATGGAAGAGTTAAACCTCAAACACCCTGGATCAGTCCCCTTCACACTGGAAGGTTGGTTTTGTTACTTGAGCAGGAAGTGAGAAAACACAGCCTCCACTCAAGGAAGGTGAGAAGTGCTGTGAGCCCAGAAATAGTCCCAGAGGGGCAGGGGAATGGGCAGCCAGCTGGAGCAGCAAGGACAGAGAAAACATCCTCCCTACACATGATATGGCAACCCCTGACCTGCTGGTTGGAAAGAAACACAGGTAAAATGACTGAAAAAAAAAAAAAAAAAAGAAAGAAAGAAAGTGGGCAAACACCCAGAGAAGCTGTGGCTGCCCCATCCCTGGAAGTGTCTAAGGCTGGGCTGGACAGGGCTTGGACAAACCTGGGATAGTGGAAAGTGTTCCTGCCCACAGCAGGAGGTGGAATGAGATGATTTTTAAGGTCCCTTCCAACCAAAACCAGTCTGTGATTCTATGAATACAGGTACAAAGATTTTTAAAACAAAGTAAGTGGTCAAACTCACCCATTTGGTATGAAGGGCAGGCACGGACACCACAGTGCTCCATCAGCAAGGGGTAAGGGATGTTCATCCACATTTACTCTCAAACGCAGAACAGCTCCACTCTCAGCACCTTCACCCTCCACCCAGTCAGTCTTCCAGGGCCCAGTTGTGTCCCTTTCCTGACCAGGAAGAGGATGGAGGGGTCTCCCAGCAGAGCCAAACATCTCAGCCAGCTGGAATGTCAGCGACATCGGCAGGACCTTTCAAGGACTGAGCTAAAAGAAAAACAACAGAGGAAAAAATATCCAAACTTCGTCAGACTAAGCCATTACAAAAGACCATCAAGTTCCTTTGTTGAAGTAAATTGAAATCCAAAAACATTTTTCACAGCCAACCCCAAAGAAAATTTCTTTGGTTTTGGTTTCAGAAGCTTTTCTGCAGCTCTAAAGGCATCAGCCAGCTACATTTCTGAATGAAGTGGCTCCTCAAAATGAAAACTTGAGCAATTTTGTTTTAAACTAAGTCAGAAAGGACTGGAGCTGTAATCCCATAAGAGTGCTGGATGTGTTTCCTTGGCTCAAAATGACTTGCTGAGTTTTCCCTGAATTTTGTGGATATTTTTGCTTGACCCCACGTGGCTCAGGCACAGTGACAAAGCACCTTCAGATTGCAGAGGAGCAGTGACCTGCAGGGATACCCCAGTGCTCCCTAAGCCTTCAGAAACCCCCTGTGGAGGTGGGTAGGCACAGTTTGGAATAGGTATTAGGACTTTTGAGTGACTGAGCAGCCTTTCCCACTTCTCTTTTAATTCTGAGGGTCACTTCTCTTCATACAACCAGCACAGCCAGGGTGAAACGATTCCTTCATGCAACATCTCCAGTGTGAGCACCTTGCCCAAAAATCCCACAGGCAAAGGCAGAGGGACAGCATAGCATGGTGTGACAGGCTGGTCAGCAACTGTGTCTTGCTAATGGCAAAGGGATCATCTCTTCTCTTCTTCTTCTCAGGGGTTTTCACTATTAAAAACCTTTAAAACACAGACAAAATGGCCAGGAACTAACCCACACATTTTCTCAGCATGAAGCTCCAGACTCACAGGTCATGCAATGTCCCAAAATCATCTGCTGGAATGCTGTCCCAGACATCCACCTAGGGCAGCCCTACACTCTCAGCCTCCTCCTGTGCCTTCCAGGAGCATCCCCATCCCTCCCCGTTGATTTAGAGTATGGCTGGGATATTGTCTGTGGTCCTGGGAGCTGTGGGAAAGGGAAAAGCAGAGCTGGGAGGAGGCAGTGGCCTGGTTTGGGGTGAGATCTGTGCTCCCCATGTTTGCCCAAGGTCAGGGAGCAGTGGGAGTTGCCCCCCACCCCTGCATCTCTTCACCCCTATTTCTAGACAACCCTTCCCACTGGCATGCCGAGGGCCCTTCCACTCAGGGAAGTATTCAGGAATTCCTGCAATTAATTCCCTGTCATCCCCAAGATAGCTCTGCTGTGTGGAGGAGTGCCACAGACCAGCAATTAGGGGGCAAAGACAGACTGCCAAGGGAGGCACTGAGGTCACACCTGTGTAGCTCCAGAGCTGTGCCGGGAGAAAGCCCTGACCAAGCTCCAGAGGGAATGGCAGCTCCTAAGTCAAACCCAAGTAATAAGATGGTCTTGTAGGGGGAAAGATTAATCATTATTGGCAGCAAAGAATGTGCAAGTCTAACAAAAGCTAAAGGGCTTTTTATTACAGTCCAACTGCAGCTGGGAAGACAATGTTAGCTAAGAATCATTAAATCTGTTGCAAGAATAAATTTTCTTTCATCCAAACCATAAAATGGGAGTGAAATCCTCTTAAGCCAGCAGCAGCTCCTAATGGAACAGGCATTATAAATTTTTTTCAAACCAATAATAAAAAATAAAAAAGGGTTAGATTATTAAGTGAATAGATTAGGTTCCCAAATGGTAAATATTTAGTCAAGCAAAACCTGCCTAATTTAATACCTGCCACAATTATTTTTTCATCTTGGGATTATAATTGAAGGGAATAAGGGCATTTTCTGACTGTACAAACAGGGATTAATGAACCCTGTTTTCCCAGAATTGAGGCAGGAGAGGAAGGACCTAGGGAAACTTTCCCTTGCTAACCCCCAGGTAACATCAGTGCTGCTGCACGTGCCAGCGATGAGCTGGCAGCTTTTGCAAGCCTGGAAGATGGAAGGTGAAGCCAAGGTTCCCTCTCACAGATGGTCATTAAATTTCCTGAAACATCTGACCAGGAGGTCACTCCTGATATTATCAAATATAAAAAATATTACAGAAAAATTGAAGCAATTTATTACTGCAGTCTGATTTAGTCCCTGCTTTCAGGGCAAGCTTGGGGTATTCCTCCCTCAGTGCTTTTCACTCTCTGCCAGACACAGGAGATGTGGGAAGGGAGTGGAACCCTGAGCTCCAGCATTTACATGGGCTCCGAACACCCAGGTGGGAAAATTTACCTACCCAATCCCTTCTCTGGGGCAGGTGGTTCAAAGAGAGTGTGTCCTATGCCCAGGGAGCCTTTTCCACTCCTGACACTCCTCCTCTAAGCTCTAGACAATCTGTCTTTCTTCTTCATAGGCTGTGCTCCCTTCCCACTCTCCAGAGGGTATCCTTGGATGCTCAGACCTTTCAGGCCTCTAAAAAGTTACCTGATCTAGACATGGCCTCTGCACAGTGGAGCTTTGCACCAGCAAGTCAAGGGAGGGGACCCACCCCACCTGCAGAGCTGCCTCAGCCCTGGGGCCCAGCACAGAGAGGACGTGGAGCTGCTGGACAGAGCCCAGAGGAGGCCACGGAGATGCTCTGAGGGCTGGAGTCCCTCTGCTCTGGAGCCAGGCTGGGAGAGCTGGGGGTGCTCACCTGGACAAGAGAAGGCTCCAGGGAGATCTCAGAGCCCCTGCCAGGGCCTGAAGGCACTCCAGGAGAGCTGGAAAGGGACTGGAGACAAGGGATGGAGGGACAGGACACAGGGAATGGCTCCCACTGCCAGAGGGCAGGGATGGATGGGATATTGGGAAGGAATTTCTGGCTGTGAGGGTGGGGAGGCCCTGGCACAGGGTTCCCAGAGCAGCTGTGGCTGCCCCTGCATCCCTGACATCATCCAAGGTGATGGTGAATGGAGCTTGGAGCACCTTGGGAGAGTAGAAGATATCCCTGCCTGTGCCAGGGGGTGAGACTGGATGAGCTTTAAGGTCCCTTCCAGCCCAAACCAGGCTCATATCCACAAAACACACTGACATGTTCAGTAACAGCCATCCACAACCACTCACTATCCCCATCACTTGCACGACAGTTCTCCTAGAGATGAAGATTACTGGAGCAGCTGCATTACCAAGGGGACATCACCACAAGCTCTACCCTGGAAAGAATCACATGGCCATTGGCTTGCAGGCTGCTCCTGGAAGCACACACTGCAGTAAGTGGGAAGAAGAGAAACATTTGAGTACAAACCTTCCTGCCTGCAAGCATTTCTGATCCTGGCTTGACCAGCTCAAACTCAGCTCCAGGAGTGTAAACTTCAGTGCATGTCTGAAGTATTTTGGGGAGGAAGATGAGAAAGGACATGGGTTTATCTGATATAGATCTTGCTGTCATGTCAGAGCTCTGTTGCTTTTGTTTTCCAGACAGGAACCTCGCTGGGAAGTGCTGGTGAGTGCTACAGGCTCATGCAGGCTCTCCACACAAACTCCTGGTGCAGGTCTGGTTGTGTGTTGTGCACAAGGGTCAGCAGGGACAAAAATGAGAGAGAAATGGATTCAATAATGAAATCTTGAAGTAAAAATGTGGGTGATCAGATGACAGCAACAGAGAAGGTCAGGAGTACTTTAGACCCAAACAGCTCTTAAATCCAGGTAAGAAATGGGACATCTGTGGCAACAGCAGAATCATCAGAAATAGCAGTTAATCCCAAATTGGGAGCAAGCAAAGTCCAGGGCTTGCCAGGGAACAATATGTCAGCAGGATTATGGGCAAACCTTACAGGGCAGCTGTGATTCTGAAGGCCTGAGAAGCCAATTGTGATCAAAGAGCCACGCAGGCACAAGAGGAAACAGCATGGAACCCAGAATCCTTCTCCTGAAGGCAGATGGAAGTGAGTGACAGCCCAGCAGATCCTTTCCAAATCACCCCCCGGGTCCCAGGAGCAATGGATGGGGACTGCTCACGTGACGCTGACTGACACGCTGCAAGATCGTCTGTGGGAAAGGAACAAGAGGGGTAATTTTATTGTCACGTCCCGCAGGGGGGTGTGAGGAAAATCACAGCATGAGAAAATGACAGTGTATCTGTCTGAGGTCATTTGCATGCCCAGATAATCTGTGGGAGGAGAGCCAGAGTTGCTGTGTTTGACAGAGGCAACACCACGACAATAGGCCTGGGAATCGAGATATTTGCAAGCCCTGAAACCAGCCTGGTGTTTGCTGCTCTCAGAAACCAAAATGACCTGACTTCATCATTTAGGCTTCCATGATTACATTTTCCTCCCTCATTATGGGCTGTATGATGGTCTCATCTTGCTGATGGCAGAGAGGGACAGTCCCACGCTCAGAAGTGTGCCCATATCCCAAGGACACATTTAGGGGACACAAAGAGACCATACACAGGCAAAGGAGAACATGAAGGCAGACACTGAGTAGCAGTAGCTGTGGGCAGCCAGTGCAGCCCAGTAGATTTTAGCAGGGATCCAGAGGAAGGAAAAAAGGCTTTGTCAGTGGTTCCAGGTTGCTCCTCTGCTGCAGAGGGAATAACCTGGGAGAAACACGTGGTGGCAGATGGGAACTGGCATGGCTGGCAGGAAAACTCGGCATATCTGCACTGGAAAATCCAGCTGATGGCTCGATGGAATAGGGCCAGGAGGACAGGCTGCCTGCAGAACGCACAGGCACTTCACAGGGAGTGTGAGGGAGATGGTGACAGGTTGGGTGAGACTCAGTCAGTTACACAACCCTTTAACACTGCACTGCCAGAGGCTCCCAGGAAAATCCCAATGATAAGGTGTGTGGGACTCTGCACAGCACTGATAAGTGTGGCAGAAATCTGATTGCTTCGAAAACCTGGGCATTCCAAAGGGATTTCAGCTGGGTGCACAGGGAGGACGAGTTGGATTTCAGAGATAACCTTTGGGCAGAACCATCCAGCTTTCAGCAGAGCCCAGATATGGGTATTTAGAGAAAGGTCAAGTCAAAGAGAATGGAGGGGGCGAGTGGATGGTGAGAAAGAGAATCAAGAAAGGAGCAGGGAAGAGCAAGTATGAGGAGATTTAAAACTCCTGAGCTGAACCCAGGAGGTAGGTGTCCAGAAAAGGCTGTCAGAAAGCAGAATGTGAATTAATTTGGACAGTGCAGGATGGTTTAGAAGGAAAGTGATCACTCTGTGAGTCATCAGCAGGACATTAAATATGCAAAATTTGTAAATAAGGTCACCCTGAGAGGGAACACGGAGCAGGAATAGAGAAAAGCTGGGCAAATAGCCAAGGATGGAGCAGGTGAAGTAGCTGACAGTACCTGAGGATTGTCAAGCAGGGCAGGCACAGCCCCAGATCCATCAAGGCAGAGGGAACAATGTCCTCTTTGGGCAGAGGGGAATAAGAAACCTCCCCCTCCACCAACAGGTAGACTTGTCACTACCAGACCCAAAGAGAAAGCAAACTGTGATGTCAGTGTGCTAGTGGCAGCCATAGATTAGAAAAGACAAGCCCACAGCTGCAGCTGGCAGGGAGTTGTGTGGGAAGCTGAGCCTACCCAGCATTATTCAGCTGCTTCCCAGGTGCTGGAAGAGCCAGAGCTCATGTCTGTGATTGCAGGGGCAGGAGCAGTGGGATCCTGAAAGGCTCAATTGACCCCAGGTTACAGAGCCAGCTGGGCACATGCCAGGGCTGAGCTCACCCACTCACCTGGAGCTGGCTGGGAAGCAAAAGGCAGCTCGAAGGGAATGCCAAGTTACCTTGTTGCTGGCAATGGCCTCTCATTTATCAGCGAGGGATGCAGGCAATTTACACAGGGATGTGGGAGTGTTGCAGGTGTTAGGCAGCCACCCTGAGAGCTCAAGACAACAAAGAGAGCCTGAAAAAAAGCAGATCCATTTCTAGCTGCAGAGAGGCTCTTAGCAAGTCCAGCAAGCCCCAGGCAGAGCTAGGGGAAGGGGGGCTGGGAACGGACCACTGGGACAATGGTCCAAGGACAAAAGGGCTGCATTAAAGGGCCTATTCTGGCAGTTAAGCCAGGTTTAAGAAATTTTGCTGCTGCCTAATCTGAGGCTAAAAATGAGTCAGTCTTAAAACCTGGAAATGCCTGGCCAAGTCAGGGGAGAAAAGAGGGTGAGGCACTTAAACGCTCCAAGCATTATGTTTCTTTCTGTCTGCGTGTTCACGACAAAGGCAAACCGCTTTCAGGTTTGAAGTACACACTCCCTGATGGAAGCGAGACATTATACAGACCTGATGTGGTGCTGTGATCGGGTGAGGAGCCTTAACATCTCTGGCTGGTGCAAGCCCCAGAGGCAAAGTTCAGTGAGCTGGTGCCAGGGTAACTGGCAGAGGTTATCCAAAAGCCAGATTCCATGAAATGCAGTCAGTCAGGACAAAGTGGCCTGGTCTCTGCAGGCTGCCTGCTTTCCTGTTTACCTGACCCAGCAATCCAGGATTTCTTTTACACAGCTTCATTTATAAAAGAATCCAGTCTGCAAAGCACAGCTTAGCCCAAATTTCCACTACCAGACTTCATCAGATCACTCCAGGCTCTGAGACCACTGTCTCCACACAGTAATAGACATTATATCCTCAGGCTTTGTGTGTGTTTATGTTACCCTTCCATTTTCCCTTCAGATATGACATGCAATTCCTAGAAAATATGTTATAAACTCTTCTGCTCTGGAGTTCTGCCACCTCTGCACTCATTTGAGCCAAGGATGTAGTTTCAAAGTAAATCAATAAACAAGGCTTAAAAGGGTCCTACAGACAGACTGGGGACAGCACCACCTCCCCCTCCCCAGTTATCACTCCTGTGCCTCAACCTAACCAAGTAAATGGGTGAAAACCAAACAGGAGAACACTTCCCAAAGCTCCCCAGTGTTGCATTACAGTATGGAAGTAGGGACCAGGGCTTGCTTGCAACTGGAATGGCACCTCCAGTGTTCAAAGTCCCTGGAGTCATCAAATGAGCATGAGTGGGTGCCACAGCACAGTCAGGGCTGTGGGGAGGCTGTCCCAGGGATCATTGGCAGGGCCACCCCTCACTGCCAGCCTGTGGCACCCACAGGGGACTGCAGCCCGGGTCTTCTGGTTGCTACAGGTGGTCCTGAAGGCACCCAAGGAAACATCTCAACCCCAGTGAGAGACTGGAATGGTAAACCTGGAAAGCCTGGATTCAGAAAGGGGCAATGCACCTCCCACACTTACTGAAGACATTTAGGGCCCCTCAGGCTTGTTATCACATAGAAAATAACATATCCAAGTAGAGCATACCTAGATTTATCTGGGAATTCCAGGGGAGCACATCTTCACCCTTAATCCTCCTTTACACTGCTTGTGGTTTCTCGTACTTCCCAGAACACCAACAGCCATACAGGCACAGGATCTGATCTTTGGGAGTCTCCCAAGAAGCTCTAACAAGGTTGTACCTCCTCAAGCAGCTCCTCCAAGGTGACCCATAATGAACTCCATGAGCACAGTATGGACTGCTGGCTGAACACTTCCCTAGGGAAGAGCTGAGAGGTGGGTTATTCATCACCAGGACCTGTCCTGCTCTCCAGGATCAATGCACACATGGGCAAGGGAACTACCAGAGAAACCTCTGACACAAAGCCTGCTTGGATGCACTGACAGCAAGATTTACAGAGCAAATTAACTCCACTGGTTGAATTACTTGCCTTTTTTTTTTTCTTTCAAAATCTCCAAAGGCTGCATAGAGACAATGCTGACAACTCAGCCAGAGAGGAGGGCTGCTGCTGCACACGATGAAAATGAAGACCCCCTCACTCTGCCACCAAACAACTGATGAGTTTTTGCCTGGCTGCATCTACAGCTGAGATCTCCATTACCTGTGTGCTGATGGTTGTATTGGTGTGTCTGCCTGGGCTTCCTCGGGCCAGCTCAGGACATCTGCTCTGTTGCTTTTGCTCTCTGTAAAACAGAATGAATCATTCAGGGAAGAAGCGATCTCTTGTTTTGGTTGTCTTCATGGGTTGGTCTCTGTTCAGTGCTCTGTGCTCTGTTTCCAAATCCAGCATTGTGTATGCAGAATCTGATTAGGGGAGTTTACACCACCAGAATATACATCCAATGTAGCAATTACACACAGCTCTGGAAGAGCCTCCCACACAACATACTGGCACAGTGAAGCTCCTACTAGAGACACGTGGGACAAGCAGCCCACACGTCTCCTGCACAACCAGATTACTCAGCCCTGGAGTGCTGCTTGAAGCAACATTTTCTTGGGATTCAGGGAGAGATCCCACAGACTGCTGCTCTTTTTTGTGGGGTCTGTCCTCGTTCACAGAGCTATTACTCATTGCCTGTAAGGCTGGATACCACCAAGGTGCTCTGAGCTATCCCAGCCTGCAAAGAAGGTTCCTGTGAGCTGCACTGAGTGACACAACTGCCAGAAGCCATATCCACGACATTCCCTGTGTCTGGACCCTCCCCTGCACAGCACCAGGCATCTGAACTGCACACAGTGCTGTACTGCCTCAGTTTCTCTCTGTGCCTCCAGCACAGGCTTCCCTGCCCCTCACCCAGGCAAACCCCAAATTCAAAAGGCCAAATTCTTCCCTGTGTCCATGCAAAGCAGCCCCTTGTCTCCCCTGCAGAGCAAGGGGAACCCTCCCACCCTGCCCAGGATTGCAGAGCCCTGTTATGTAGCCCCAGTGCAACACGTGCAACCCCAGAGCTGCTTTTCCTGCTAGGAACCAGCCCCTGCTCTGGGCACCTGCAGCACTGAGCAGCTTTAGGGGTACTCAGCCATGGGGTAATTAATGAACACACATGATCACTTCTATTATCTGCAACTTGAAGGCAACTCTTATCAAGGCAGAGCTGGAGCTGTGCCCACCCAGGGCACAGCCACATCTGGGACCTTTGCTCATTCATTCTCCCTGGCTGCTCAGGGAGTCAGGTGGTGCCGTTCCTAGAAGGTGAATAAATTATTACTGCAAATTACTCTGATGAAGTGGCTTTTATTAGAAAGCCAGACACAAAGGGAGTTTGCTGATTGGCTCCCAGTGATGTCATACCCAGCACAGCACTCAAACGCAGAGATACGAATTTTCTTGTCTATATTTTGCATATAATTTTCATTTTCTCCTGGCAATAAAGACACCAGTGAAGCCTTTCACTTGGGGAGGGTGGTGGGGGGTCTGTACTGCTCAAGTGGCTGATGAAAGTGAAGTGGCCTTTGTTCTTCTGTCTTGCAGGGAACCTCAGGCTAACAGTTTGCACCCACAAAGGCACTGTGGTTTATTGCTCTATTACACACCCATCATTCCATTTTCATAGGTGGAGAGCAGAAAAATTAGCATTTTTTTGGCTTCATTGTATCTAAAATCATTCTGATCACAGAGATTTTGTTATTTACAAGCTGAAGCTTAAAGTGCAGATAAAGCAACAGCTTTCTGATTGTCATCAGAAGGTTGGTATAGGGCTTTGGGAAAAAACAGACAGCAAAATCCCAACTTTTCCGAGTTTCACATGGTGCTTGTTCCTCCCTGCAAAGCCATTGTGAGTTCTCAGTGAGGTCTGTCAGTTCTCAGTGAGGCAGACTCAGTGACCAGCACACTGCATGCTCTCATTCCTCTTCCTTAATTCAATGCCCTACCAAACTTACAGAATTTGCCCAGGAAAAGTTCCAGTTTTAATCATTTCTGGATGCAACAGGCTTGCTGGCGCAGCTCAAACAGCAGAGCCCTGTGTGGAGAACAGGCATGGAAGTATCCCTTGCCTCACTGAACTGGAATGAACTCCCAAATTCAATTGAAGGCTGTGGTTTCCTCAGCAGCTCCCTCACGCAAGGCTGCCGCAGTTCTGGGCCCCTATTGTCCCTACTGAACCTGGACACAGGCATAGAGGAAGGTTTTTCATACCTTCCTGCCTCCATTATGTACCACCAAGGTGTAAATTTTGCTGGGATGGCCAAGTGTAACATTTCCAGCCCTGGAAACAGGCTCCTGCTTGTTCTGTGCAAACACTGGGCTCTCCTCCAACAGAGCCAGCACAAATCCTGAGCTGACCTACAGTGCCTGCCTATTCCCCTTTGATTATGGCTCCAAAGTCATTTGTCCTACAAGGACAGAAAACAAAACACATCTATCACTTGGAAGATGTCCTGGAAGCCCCCAGACAGTTGTGCTGATGAAACTGGACACTGTGGGCTACTGGAGAGTTCAAATATAGTTAGATTGGCTGTTCCCAGTCCTGGGGTCACGAACTCCCTGCAACATCAACTCCACTTTATTCCAGGTGGCTCGAAGTTGAAGATCATTCTCTCTTATCATCTGAAGATTTGCTGAGCTGCTTGCCCTTTGTGGAAAACAGGAGCCGTCCTCAGAGTCCTGGATGTTGGATCTGAGGCTTTTGAAATCCTGAGGGTGAAGGTGCAAGGAACAGGCATCGGGAAGGAGAGTACCTGGCTGTGAATCAGAGTGAAAAGGAATGTGAAGGCTGCAATCCTGGGAGAGGATGCTGGCTGAGACACACGGCCAGCATCAGCAAAAAGGGAATGGGCTCTCAGGTTTAAGACCTGGAACAGATTCAAATCACCCCTTTTAGGTCTGACCTCTTTGCCTGTCTGAGGAAAACAGCAGAGAAGGGAGGGAGCCATGAATCTTGGATCCTGTCCTCATGTGGCTTGGCCCTACATCCCTCCTTGCTTTTACCACTCTATGTGTAGAACAGAGGGTTATTAAAAGCACCAGGAGAATCTCAAGTAAAACAATTTTACTGTTTTTAAGAGCTTTGTTATAGCATCTCTGGAGCTCTGGTTTGAACCACCACAGACCATTGTCGGGAAGCTCTAAATAGCCTTTGGATATTGAATTACTGTTCAGAAACATATCAAATTCCAAAACTGCACTGTCCAAAAAAAGAAGCCTCTGTAGAACAGAACACGCTCAGACAGCACAGACAACAAAACCATCATGCTGGCCTAACTCAGTTTCCCTTCCCCACCCAGAGCAACAGCCTTGCCCCAGTCTCAGTCCAGCAGTGTTATTTCCCTGGGAAGCAGCCGGGCTCTAGAGGAGAACACAGTCCCACCTACTCATCACTCACCTAAAAATGAGAGCCCTTCTATTGCTTAGCTTTTAATGAAATTGGGGCTTGATATCTCAGTCAGCCCCTCCCTTCCACTTGAGGACAGCATTAGCATCAGTCTGGATTATAATATGCAGTAAGATGTTCTGGGGTGATATGAATCAAAGTCCTGAAAGTGGGATTGTGTTTAATTAATTGTGGCTGACAGATGAAGGTATTGATCGTGGATTGAGAGGTTCAGGACTGACCTGGGGAATAATTATTGCATGGCACACTGTGTTAGGGTGATATTTTTTAAATTTCTGGCAATGTAGGAGGGAAGCAGGGGGGAAATAAGTGAATAAGTGCAGCTAATTAGGACTTGTGTGTGCATCCCAAATTAATTTGTTTGAATAATCAACCACCAACAGCAGTCTGATCCAAAAGGAAAAGGAAACAACTGCTCAGAAGGACCTCAATTCCTCCCATAAATTGTGCAGTCCCACATCTGGGATAAATGTTTTATAGAATTGAGGCCCTAAATACAGAAGAGGAATCAGGCAAGATTATTGAGTGGAAACACTTGCTTTTGCCTAAGATGTAGGAAAAATCAAAGGAGGTGAGTGAGGCCGAGGGGTGGCAGGGTGTGGGATAGCAGATGATGCTCCTGCCGTGGCCCCCACCCTATCTGCCCCTACCCATGTGCAACAGGACCCCCCCGCCGGACTGCCCTTCCCAGGTGGGACACGGGAGGTGCGGGATGCTCACGGGGGATCAGACACACAACTGCTGTCGCCGCGGGGAGCATGAGAGGCGTCTCGGGCGAGAGGGCAGATGGAGGCGAGGCTGCGGCAGCAATCTGTGTCCCGGTGCCCGGCCCCTCGCTCCGGTCCGCGGGATCCCCGTAATCCCCCCCGGCAGCCCTGCTGCTACAAACACTCTCATCACCATCACAGCGGGGGCAGCTCAGCACAGACAGCGAATGATCTAGCGGGGGGTTAATAAAAGGACTGGCGCAGAACAAAAAGCCTGTCAGCCGCCACAAGATGTGCTCTCCTCCCCTTGTGCCCCCCAGGAAATTAAAAACCGGAGCCTGTGGTGTGCAGTGTGCCCTGCGGGACTGGACGGGCACTGGGATGTGGAAGGGTAGGGTGGGAAGGGGGAAGTAAGGAGTTAAATGTTTGTCCCAGCTGTTGTTTCTGACGCGATCTATCAAGTGCCGCTACTCTAAAGGACCAGACTACCTGGTCTTTCCGAACCTGAAGAGATCAAGGCACATTTCTGCGTGCTGCTGCCAGCAACTCCTCCTGGAGAGAGTCCACTACGTCCTGCCAGGCTGCTCTGCCTGACACCACCGAAGTCCATGTTTCCATGGAAATGGGAAGAGAACGGATGCCTGTGACACGACATACCTTTTCTGATGTAGATTTGGACCATTTCTAACATCCCTTTCTAGCGACAACCTTCGGGACTAGATAATTTTGCGGGCACAACCAAAACAGAACAAGAAGGGGGAAAAGATATCTGATGGTATGAATCAAACCCCATCATCCTTTCTGGTGAGCAGCAGCTAAACTCGAAAGTGCATTAATCCATTAAAACACCCTTCCAGGCAGAGAGATTCCACTAAATACAATACAATTCACAAGGGCACAGTGAGGATCTGCCCCTCGCCTCTCCGGGCTGGGTTGGGTAAAGTTTGCAGCGCTCGGAGGTTCCCGGCGGTTCCCCGCGCCCAGCCCGGGCTGCGCAGCGCGGGCCCGCAGCGCCCTCTCCCGCGGCACCGGGGCACCCCCGGCCCGGCACCGCCGCAGTCCGGGGCTGCCCCGCCTCGCTGCTGCTCCTCTCCCATGCTGCCCTGGGCACTGTGCTCCGGGCATCCCTATGCCCACACTGCA